TTGCAATTACAGGTAAGAACAAATTCTGCCACTTGAAAATTTATGGGAAGGTATAATCACTTTTACTTTGATTGTGTTTTAATTTGCAAATTGTAATTGGCCAAGAATTTAACAGAAATTTCAGAATGGATTGGATAAAAGGATGTGGTGGTTTTCTTCTTTAAAGCCATTTGAATTTTGCTTAATCTTATTTTTAATAGGGAGGAAATATACCTTAAAGTATAGCTTCTCTCTCCTATAGTACAAAGTACTGTTAGTAAATGGAGGGGAAAAAAAAGTAATTTTTCAACACCTAAATGTGTGCTGACTCAGATTTTGAGGAAGGTATTTTCTCACACAAAAGACTGTACAGTGTCAGTCAGTAAAAGTCATGAAGTGTTTTGCCACTGTGTGTTGAGATCAACTTACTGTCTGTGTGTGGCTTTTTTCCCCTCAAGGTCTGTATTTCCTTAAATGTGCTAGTAGCAGCAGTACTGCTTAAGTTACCTTTTTTAATCAGTTACAGAAAATCTCTAAATTTTTGTTACAAGTCCACTGTAGCTTCAACTCTTGAGTCACCTTTTCAAGGGTAAAGGTTGATGTCTTCTTCCAGGTCAGTGAAAATGTTTTGGCTGCTGGTTTTGTGTCATAACTTTATCTGACAATGACGGAGATAACTCTTGTCCCACTACTCAATCACTATCTTCTAAACTCGTGTGTATAAAAGTCAATGTTCTTTTACTCTGACTTCTTTTAAAAAAAAGATAAATTCAGTGCTACAAAACTATATTAATTAAAAAAAAACCCACACCACCACAAATACCTGTCATAGAGATTGCATATTTTGGTTTGTATGTTTCTGAATAATTTATTTCTGTTTTTAAACAGGGAGTATGTGTTTTGAAGACTGTCCATGAAATAGCTTTATTTTATATGCTGAATCTGCCGAATTATGATCAAGTTAAGGCCTTTCAGTCTTGATTTCACATTTTGGTATCTTTGACAGGAAGAGTTGCTTGCCTTAGGCTACATTTGTCAATAGTGGCAGGACAAGAGTCTGGACTGCTGGTATCAAGCAGTCTAATATGTCTTACTCTGAAGTTGGATGATGCATAGGTCAATGACAGGTTTGTACCAAGGAGGTGGCATTGATTGTTCTGCTGCTACAATGAAAGACGGGTTCAAATGTGTTTGGGTTTTTTTTGTTACCGTTGTCTTGATTGAATGTTTGTACTTAATTTGCAGTGATGTAACAGGTTGAAAAAAGGCACTTAACTCTTCTTATACTGTGCAAGTCATAGACTAATTTATGTTGTAATGGACCTCTGGCACTCATCTAGCCCAACCCTTGTGTCTGACTTCCTCAGATTTGTGTGTGTGAATCAACAAGTCGCCCCTCAATTATGTAAATAAATGGCTTAGTGTTTTACTGTGGTTCTGCAGACCTGTTGCAGAACACTTATTCTGGTCTTTCAGACCTGTTTAAGAACAATTTATTGATGATATGAATTGGTGATTCATTGCTGCCCTATTCTCACAAAAATGTGTCTGAAGCTTTTGGTAAACAAACATTGAAAAAGGTAGGAAAAGAAGTTGTCTTAAACTTCTAAATTTAGAATTAAGGGACAACTCATTTTTAGTGACATACAGCTTCATGCTAATGAGTAAAAAAAATTCTTCAACTTTAATACCAATAGTGTATCAGGTAAACATTGGCTCTCTTTCTTCAAAATCTTAGGTGCTATTTCTTTAATAAAAACCTGGCTGCTGGTGGTTAGATTGATGATTGAGAAGGAGCATCTAAGTAGCTGATCTCTTATTGAATTTAGAGAACAAAAAAAAGATGCTGCATAGAAATAACTATAAACTCTATTGCAGAAGAATCATTGCTTTGTAGTATCCAAGTGCCACACGTGCATCTGTTTTGAATAGCCTAGTAAAGAAGTGAGAACATGCTTATTGACTATAGGAAGTATGAGCAGATAGAGGCAAAAAAAAGGAATTCCAGTTAATATCATGGGCTATAAATCTCGCCATAGTATGGTCAGTAGGGATAAACAAGAATACAGTGCCGTCTTCTGGGTGGTAAAATAAAGCCACATCTCATTGCAGAGTTTGAGTTAAGGACAAAATGTTACTTCAGGGATAGTAAGCCCAAACAGGTAATACCCAGTTTAACCAAGTAGGCCCATTTCACTCGGATGCCAGTGCACCAAACTCCTATTTCAAGAAAATGGTACAAGAGCATGAATATTGGCTTACGCAGAGCTATCTTGGCTCTTACAGACTTTAGCCTTCATTCTGTTCCCATGGAGGTGCTAGAAGCAATAGTCTGTTTGCTTTGTACTGGCCCAATTTGTTGTACTTGGTGAACCAGCCTGGGTATTTATGTATCTTACACATCACTTTTTGTATGGTTAATCTGTAACTCGGATAAACTGTTTGCAGATAACAAAGGGGATTGAATTTCCCAGACTTCATAGTGTTTGGAGGAAATCCTGGTAAAGAAAACCTCAAGTTGTTACCTGGAAAACTAAGATGAATGACATTAATGAAAAGATTGACTACAGCAGTGCATTTCTTACCGAGAATGACACTGCATTCCTCTTCTGCAGTAAGTCCCTAGCTGTGGTGCCAAAGTGAAGTAAGGGCTGCTTGCTGTCAGAAGTCACACTGGCAAGCACAGAATTATGTGTAGCTAACTAGGAAGAACACTGCTTTTTTTTTTTTAAGCTTTCATTTGGCCATAAAATTGTATGAAGTTGACTTCTGCAACTTCTGTAAGGGTGAAGCTGCGTGATAAATGCTTGGTGACTGTAAAAATGCATCAACCTGGGCACTGTTGTACTACATGCTGTGATTCCAAAGCTAGATTCAGAGTCCACTTTCAAGTTTTCTGTGAAGTTCATCCTGAATACCTGAGGTATGATCTCTAACTTTACACCTACCAAACTGCATTCCAGAAAAATAAGAAGCAACAGCATAGAAGTGGGCAGCTCGTCCATGAGAGACAGACAGTTGCCATATTAGCTGAGCTTGAAGATCTGCAGTTACCTAGCTTCATCCATGTTTTAATAAGGTGTAAGAAAGCAGAATATGAAACGAACCTCTGAAAAGACCACGAGCGTATATGTTTTTCTGGTGTTAACGTAGCTAAAAAGGTTACAGCTCTTAACCTAGCTCCTGGTGCTCCTTCCTATTTTTTTTCCCACCGTCTTCCCCATTGAAGGTTACTGCCCCCTTGGATCTGCTGTCTAAGCTGCTGGCTTCTAAACCCACTACGGTCAAAGTCACAAAGTTTCAAAATACTAAAGCTAACTTTGCACCTCTTCAGTGAAAAGTTCAAAGAGTAAGGGCAAAAACGTCTCAGCCAGCAGTTCTGAAAGAAAAGAAATTGCTGGCACAATGTAGTGGTGAGTAGCTGAGGCAGAGCATAAGCGATAATGTTTTCAGGTATTGCTACTGACATTGAAAATAGATGTGAATCCACAGTGTTAAATTACACCTGTGATTGTTTTGTACCCCCAGACCAGTTTAAAGTAGCTGAAACACATTGTCAAATCTTCATCTCCTTTTTAACTTGCTGGTTTAAAAGTAGTGTGGTGGGGGGATGTTGTGTGTTTTGGTTTTGTTATTGTTCCTTTTCCCCCAACTGTTGTAATGATAGAGATACAGAAATTCAGTTCAAAGTTACAGCTGTAGCTCCTAGGCATGTATTCTACCTGGTGATGGAAATAACTTGCAAAATTTTTTAAATTCCTGGTTTAAAAGCCTGTTGGGCTTCTTTCATGTCATCCTGGCAGGAAAAGTTTTTGATAGTAGGGTCTATATTAAAGGTTTATATTGGTACTTATTTTCTCTGTGTCAGTATCTTTGGTTGGCTGAGATCCTTCCTGATGGTGACTCCCGTGGCCACAGATTATTTTAAAACAAAAAAAAAAACCCTCAAAACAAATAAACCCCATAGTGAGTGGACATGAATGATAATCGCTGTCCTTTTATGTAGTTCATTTTTAAGTGAAAGTAAAATATTCAGATCTCATTCTTAGATTCCAATAATTGCTATTTGACTCTGCCAGTACTTGTGGCTACGTAGTTAGAGTAGCTGTTCCAGCCAAGCTTCAAGTAGAGCTCTTGCTCAGAAACTCACTAACTAATTTGCCTAATGTAAATTTATGTAGTGCCAGCATTTTTAAGGTCAGTAAGTCAAAAGCGATCCCAAGTTTTCTGGGATCAAAAATAAAGATCTTCAAAGCTGGTTTCACTCATCAAATGAACTTGTATTTAGTATACATACAGTATAAATAGATAGTATAATGTAACTATGGATATAGTATAATGATAGTGTATTGTAAGTAAACACAAGATTAGTAAAAGATTACTTACAACATTGTCACTCCGTTTCTTGTGGAAATTGAAGGGTATGGGGAATCTTTATGAATGTCAAAACTATCTACAGTGTGTGTAGACACATGTAATGCATAGAGTGTGTGTATGCACATACATACACACTAGAGAGAGCGTAAGATGGAGACAGAGGAGCTTCCAACCAAGGCAAAGTTTGAATTTTGTACTTAAACCAGAAAAGTTATTTCTTCCTGCACTTTCAATAAGCTTTGAAATTGTTTGTCACAGATACCTTGATTTATTCGTCACTTACATCTTTAATATCTAGTGCAGCATTTTCTTTGTTGAAACGTCATTCTTTTTTTATAGCAGGAGCACATGTGTTTTGTAACAGGAAACTCTGGCACTGTTTCTTTTCCACAGCACTGACTTATTAAAAATGACTGGCCTGTTGAGTGAATCCTTCTGAAGAAGAGACATTTTACAGTACACTTTTATGACCTAAGCCCAAAAGATTGATGTTGGACCCTTCTCATTATATGAAAAGATACGTTATTGCCTTTGGGACTGTTGGCCATCAAGGTATTAGT